CAAACCCCACAAGACCATGGTGTTCCTGCCCACTGTGGCCTGGGAGAGGCACTTTGTGTATCCGCTGCTGGAGGGAACAGTCGGTCCAGGAAGGGAGCCTGCCTGGCTGTGCTCATCCCAAACCAGGCAGAACAGACTCTGCCACCACTGAAGATAGCCAGGAGAGGGGTCAATGGATCCTGGGGAGAAGGGGAGGTGTAAAAAGGGAACCTGCCTAGCACTCTTAGGTGTGACTAAACACCACCAAACCTTCCTGAATACTGCACTCAGGGTTTTGCCTTTTCTGGATCATACCATCACCCCAGCTGCCCATCAGAATCCCAGAAAGACACCACAGGGCACTGCCCCCTTACAGGAGTCCACAGTCAAGGCTTGAGAGCTATTGCATAGTCAGGGTTTAACCAAGAATTCTGTCTTGGGAGCCTTTCCTTGTCCATGCTGGAAAGCCACAGATCAGTGATGCCCAGAACCCATTAGCCCAGGGGTGCAAGAGTCTGTCCTGCACCTGCCTTCCCAACCCTCTGCAGAACAATGCTGTTCCCTTGATATGGCTGGAGTATTTACACTAGAGTAATTGGCAAGCACCATGTTTGACGAGGTTTTCTCCCTATAAAACCAGCCATGGTCAGGGCATCATATACCGCCAATCAACAGTAGCCTCATCCTGGGTGCCCGTGTACGCTCACGCTCTGTTGGAGATGCATGCACTGCTGTAAGAAGGGACAGGGACGATGCTAAAAGAGAAAACTGGATCAAAACTCCTGCACCTGTATGGTGGCATGCCAGGTGCTGTGCCCTGTGCTGTGTCAAATAATTTACTTGCTACTCGCAAAGACCAGGGAGTTACAAAGCCAAGTCACCCAGCTGCCCTGATGCCCAGAGAAAAAAGAAAACCTGCCTTGGGGTCACATAGCCATGGCATAGCAGACCTGGCTGGACAGTCAGGGAGCACCTAATTCTAACCCTGATGGGGAACCCCATGTACCACCCCCACCAAGTCTCACTAGCCTGGAAATTCCCAAGAAAGTCAGGCTGGTTGCTGACTCTACACACACACACAAACACATACACACACACACTCCCACCCTTCATCCCTGTCTCTGCCTCCCCAGCAGAGGAATATCAGGCATGTATTACCATATGGGATTTAAGATCAAATTTCGATCTGCATGCATGTGCATGCTTGAGCCCTGATCAGGGATTCTAGATTGGCATCTGGACCTTGCATGCCCAGCGAGAACTAAGAGAGGGAGATGGACTCTGGGGAGGGTGGTTAACTTAAGGAACTTGTGCTAACTTGTTTTATGTCACCTGAGAGGAGGGAGCCTCAGTTGAGAAAATGCCTCCCTAAGACTGGGTCATGGGCAAACCTGTAGAGCATTTTCTTAATTAGTGATTGATGGGGTAGGGCCCAGGCCATTGTGGGTGAGGTTATCCCCCACCCTGAACCGGTGGTCCTGGGTTCTATAAGAAAGCAGGCTGAGCGAGTCATGAGGAAGAAGCCAATAAGCAGCATTCCTCCATGGTCTCTGTATCATTTCCAGCCTCCAGGTTCCTGCTCTGTTTGAGTGTCTGCCTTGACTTACTCAGGATATGTAAGGCAAATTAACTCTTTCCTCCCCAAGTGGCTTTGGCTATGGTGTTTCATCACAGCAACAGTAACCCTGACCAAGACAGGACTAAATCCGATGAAGAAAAGAGAGCCTGCTTTTGGCAGAGAGAATTCTTGATTCTTGCTTAGAGGAGCTAGAGAACTGAAGAGTCAGAGAAGAGACAGGGCCTCAGCTTCCCTCACAAAGATGCTCATCTCTGCCTGGGACCCCAGCAGTGACTGTGGCGCAGGCAGCAGGGGGAGGGGGGAGGGCAGTGGGAAGGCGGAGAAAACAGGCTGAGTCTCCAGTTCTTGCCCTGCCATCAGCCAGGCTCCTCACTGTTTCTGCAGAGCCCTAAGGTTCCCATAATACCCTCTGAGAACCCCTGCCCCCTGCCAGCTTCTCTCTCCTGCTTTCATCCCTCCACCCCTCTGCCAGGCCACAGGGAAACTTCAGTTGCTCTTTCCAGAGAACTGAGGACTGCCAGACTCTGATCCCTCTTGCTCCTGGACCCCCACATCAGATTCTGTCTGACTTCAGTGATGGTCCTAAGCAACCACAGCTGCTAATTAGCATGGCGACCTTGAACAAGCCTCCTGGGGCTCTCAGAGACAGAACGGGAGTCCTGAAGGTCACTTGGCTGCAAAACCTTTTAAGAAAACTAAGGACCAAGGGACAGCGAGTTCTATATTAACATGCTTTTGCAATTTCGACCTTTGCTGTTCTCACTGTCCTCATTTGACGGGTGAGGAAACTGAGGCCCAGAGAGGTGAAGTGACTCAACAAGGACGCACAGCAAGAAACTCGCTTGTGGCATCTCCCTACCTATACCCAGGGCTGAGCTCACAGGAGATGTTTGTGGATTTTATATCCTGGAAGCCACCCACCCTCCCTCTGCCACTCATGCACCTTCTACAGATAAGGAAGCTGAGTAGGAAGGCACTAACCCAGCTGCTTAAGGGTACTCCCATTGGAGGCTGGCATCTGGCTCCAAGCCTCTCCATTCCTAACCCCTTATGCCATTTCCCCGATACCCACCATAGGCTCTGAGGCCCCGTCAGTCTGTCTCAATCTGCAAATTTCCCTGGCCTCTCCCCCACCTTAGTGCACTAGGTGGCTGCAATAGCCTGGACCTCAGGTCCCTAGCTGCCCCTGCTCCTCCTGAGCTCAGCTCCTCCTCACAGAGGAGAGAGGACAGACACTCTCCTTGCCTCCCTGGTGCTTGGCAGAGCAGCCACGGCTCCCGCCCGCTGCCTGGCTGATGGAGAGATTAATCCTAAACCCTTCCCGTCAGCACCCCCACCCCCCACCATGGGCAGGACCATGCTGGCTGTTCCTGTGGGACTTGGAGCACCAAGTCCTTGCTGAGGCAGGACGGCTGGCCCAGCTCCCTGCAGCATTCGGACCTTCAGCTCTCAGGAGAAAGGAGGGCTTCAGAGTCCTTCTAGAAAGCCAACTTGCGCCCCTGCTCTTCTGCAGAACCAGAATGAATACACTTCTGGTCTATAGAGGAGGCCGGAGAAGGAATGGACACTGACGCTGCCAGAGATGCTATGTTGCCAGCTGGTTTTGGTTTGTGCCCCCCCCCCACCTCTCTGACACAAAACTGTCTCTTTCCTGGTCACTGAGAGAGACATGGGCTCCCCATGTCCGGCAGAGAACTGGCTGGGAACGGACTTTCTAAGACTAGCGGTGAGTTAACTTGGGAGGAACTTGTTTGTCCTGGGGTGGGATGTTTTAGAGCGGTGGCTGGGCTAAACAGCTTGGCAGAAGGGACTTTTGGAGAGAATGACTTTCCCCGGGGCTCTGGAGGAGTTCTTCTGGCCAGCTGTTAGGGGGAGCAAAGACTGCAAAATCAGATCTGTTCAGTGGAAGGAGGTGGAGCAAGATTCCGGCTCTGGGCTAACGGAACCCCAGACCAGGAAGACCACTGTGGATTTGGATTCAGATTTGCTGTGTGACCTTGGACGAGTCCCTTCAGCTCTCTAGGACTTAGTTTCTGCTTTGGAAATTGAGAAAGCTTGGAAAGAACTCCCTAGACTCTTTGCAGGCTGCTCTCCTCCCACTGGCTGTGTGCTGTGAACCACGGAACGCATGCAAAATAACAGAGGGTACTGCAGCGCGCGTGAAACGCGGCGGCCCTGGCTCGTTCCTCGCCTGCCGCCACAATCCAGCAGGCTCTGAAATTGGAAAGCACTTTTATTTCCATCGGCTCCTGATTGGAGTGCCTCTCTCAATGTAGGGTTATAGGTGCCTGGAGACAGCTCTGGCTGGAATGAATAGCGGAAGAAATGGTCGCACAATAGGGAGGTTGAGACATAGCATGGAAATAATTCTTAAAAATATGCGAGCAAGCAAAAATCAAAAATGCTTGTCTTAAACGAAGCCCCCTAAATAGGTCTGTGATGGAGAGCGCGTTATAGAAGCCTCTTTGCCCTGCAGAGAGCCCTGCAGACAGCCCAGCAAGGGGGAGTAACCACTTCAAGGTCACACAGCAAGGGTGGGTGAGGCATACACAAAATGCAGGTCTGAGTAGGAAAGAGTTGTCCAAAGTGGGAGGTGTCCTCCACCCTCATACCAGGGTCCTCTGAATGAGAGAGAAAACCGGGGGGGGGGGGGTGAAGCTTTCATGGGGGGGGCTTCTGAGAGTCAGGTGCCTTGCAATGCCTTCACACAATCCCTGAGCGTTTGGTGGCTGACCCTCACTGAGCCTTACTAAACAGTGGTCAAGATGCTGGGCCTTGATTTCCTTATCTGCCAAGGTGAACTGTGCCTGTCTCCCTCATGGGACGGTTGGCATGAGTCTGTGAAAGAGACTGGCTGTGCTAGGGCACCTAGAAGTGGCCGTTATGGGTGCTGCATGTGTGCGTCGCTCACTAACCTGGTCCACAGAGTGGAAAGTCAAGCTTCTCCACTCACACAGACCAAGGAGAGGGTCCAGAGAGATTGAGTCACTCCTCAGAACACAGCCACACGGGGCCCCCTGCAGGGCTAACCCAAGGCTCAACGTTAGCGAAGAGAGAGAGACAGGAAGCCAATGCTCAAGACCCCATAGTCTGGGATGGTGCAGTTCAGGATCCATTCCATCTCCATTCTCAAAATGTCTGTGTCGGGGAGAAGGAGATGAACTGAAGTCCCTCCCTCTTTCGTGTAGTGGGAAGCACATCTGTATCATGGATGTACTTGCTTCCACAGGGGTAGGGATGTGTCCAATGGCATGACCCAGGCACATAGTAACTGCCCGGCAACCAAGAAGTAAACAGGAGGTTCAGAGATGGCCGAAGCAGCTGCAGGAACAATGCACAAATGCAACAATGTCTGTACTACCAAGACTCATGCTCTCTTCCTTCTTTTGTTCTTCTTCTTCTGGAGGCCGACAGGTGAGCCCTGGCCCCACAGTCTGTGGCGATGCCCACGTCTTCCAGAGACAGGGACCTGCGTCCTGGACACCATCACTTCGGCTCCTGCAGCCCCTTGAGCCAGCTCTGGCCTGGTCCAGAGCCTCAGTCAGTCAAGGGCCTTTACTACCGCAGAGCCCGGAAGGTGGGCACCCTGGACGCCTCTCCAGAGGCAGACCTGAAGAAGGAGATCCTGGTGAACGTGGGAGGCAGGCGGTATCTGCTGCCCTGGAGCACCCTGGATGCCTTCCCGCTAAGCCGCCTGAGCAGACTCCGGCTGTGTCGCAGCTACGAGGAGATCACACAGCTCTGTGATGACTATGACGAGAACAGCCAGGAGTTCTTCTTTGACAGGAGCCCCAATGCCTTCGGGGTAATCGTGAGCTTCCTGGCCGCTGGAAAGCTGGTGCTTCTGCGGGAGATGTGCGCGCTGTCGTTCCGGGAAGAGTTGAGCTACTGGGGCATCGAGGAAGCCAACCTGGAACGCTGCTGCCTGCGCAAGCTCATGAAGAAGCTGGAGGAGGCAGCGGAGCTGCGCCGGGAGGAGGCTATGCAGCGCCAGCAGCAGCGCCAGGCCTGCCACTCTGAAGTACAGTCTTCCCGATGGGCCCGCAGCATGAACCAGCTGCGTGAGATGGTGGAGGACCCACAGTCGGGGCTGCCCGGGAAAGTCTTTGCCTGCCTCTCCATTCTCTTCGTGGCCACCACGGCTGTCAGTCTGTGTGTGAGCACCATGCCCGACTTCAGGGCTGAGGAGGACAAGGTGAGTGGTTGCCCATCAGGGACCATGGGACAGCTCAGGGACATTTAGGAAACCATGGAAATAGTTTCCTTCCTTTTTTTTTTTTTCCCTTGGAGACAGGGTCTCATGTAGCCAGGCTTGCCTCAACTTACCCAGTGAGGCCTTAAACCTTTGATTGTCCTGCCTATACTGCCTGAATGCTGGGACTACAGGTGTATACCACCAACCCTGTTTTATGCACTACTGGGAATCGAATCCAGGGCTTCCTGCATGCTAGGCAAGCTCTCTCATTACTGAGCTCTAGTCCTTTTTTTTTGTTGTTGTTGTTGTTGTTTTAAGATTGGTCTCATGCAGTCCAGGCTGGCCGAGAGCTCTCTATCCAGCCAAGGCTAGCTTCCAATTCATCATTCTACTGCTACCACCTTCTGAGTGCTGGAAGGACAAACATGTGTCCCCACACCCAGCTAAATGTCTTCATTTAATTAGGAGAATATGAACACTATCCTATGTGAATAGTATACAGTTTTAGACACCCCAGCCACAAGTAAAGCTTTTTCACCTTTACTGGCAAGATGGGGACCCTTGAAGTCATTATGTGTTCCTGGCTCTGTAGGGAACCCTGGATACCGACAAAATCATGTCTGGTTTGGGACAGTGGGAAGACCCATCATCCACTTCCCAGGTCCTGTGATGGGGGTGGAGAGTGCTGGTCCTCACTGATCTCAGTTACCTCCTCAGTAAAATGCGAGACATTTCTCTGAATGTTCCCATATGTATTGCCTTTAATGTTTATCGAACAACTACTTCATGTTAAGTATTGGCTCAGAATCCAGATGCCTGCACATGAGCCAACCCTTCCCCAGATGGAGACTCAACTATGCTACATGTATTTCCTCTGGCTGAGGGATAGATTATAGCAGAAACACATGACCCTTCTTTTTCTGGTTGCCACCTCCTACAAAGTCTCTTAGTATCTCTGGGGGAGAACTCAGAGACTGGTCCTTGGCAGCCCCAACAAGCTAGGCTTGGCCACCCATCCTCAACAGACCAAGTAAACAATAGTGAAAGCCAGAGAGGTGATTAATCAATGTGGCCATATTGTGGAAAGAGAAATTAATAGAGATGTCCAGTGGCCCCCAAATCATCTTCGGGTTCCGATGTGAAGTCTGTGTTTAAATTACATTGTAATTATAATTCTAAAGTGTGTGTGTTCAGGCACATGTGCCTCAGCATGCATGTGGTCTAGAGGACATGCATGGGGAGGTCAGAGGACAACTTGCAAGAGTTGATTCTCTCCTACCATGTGGGTCCTGGGCCATCAGGCCTGGGATAATTTAAGAAAAGCTGGCAAGAAATAAGCCAAGCTAAGGTCAGGCATTCATAAAAATGAATAAGACTCTGTGTGATTATTTGGGAGCTGGATGGCAGGTCCCACAAAGAGCAAAGAGTAAAAACAACAAAAACAAACAAACAAACAAAAAACCCCAACTACACACAGGCAGAATGTTTCCTCCGGGTCAAGGTCACTTTAGGTCTGCCAGGACCCACGACCTAACCCCCAACAAGCCAGTAACACTAGGGGAAAAAAGGCTTAAGCCTGGTGACAGCCCTAGGTGGAACTTGTCTCCTGGAGAGAAATTCGCCTGCAGATCTTTCCAGCCCTCTACTTAACTCTCAGACCAGTGAGATGGCTCTGTGGGTAAACCGTGAGTAAAGGTGCTTGCTGACCCATCTACCTTCTGTCTCTGAGCTTTTACCTTTCTCTTTTCTATATTCCTTTCTTTCCTTCTTATTCCATGGCTGGTAGTGTGGCTGGGTGACTGGCTCCTGGCATCCTGTTATTCTCTTCCTTTTCTTGCTCCTTCCTCTCTTCTCTTTCTCCTTCTATTTATTCTCTATGCCTAGCTATTGGCCATTCAGCTCTTTATTAGACCAATCAGGTGTCTTAGGCAGGCAAAGTAACACAGCTTCACAGAGTTAGACAAATGCAACATAAAAGAATGCAACACATCTTTAAATAAATATTAAACAAATGTTCCACAGCATAAACAAATGTAACACATCTTAAACTAATAATCCACCACACCTGTGCACCCCTACATTCTCTTCGCAGACAGCTGTGGGACACCAAGGACCCCAGGAACCAGATGGTCTGTGTCCTGGTCTGCTTTCTATTGCTCAGATAAGCATCCTGATCAAACACAAGTTGGAGAGGAAAGGGTTTATTTGACTCCCCCTTCCAGATCACAGGCCATCAGTGAAGGAAGTTAGGGCAGGAACTCAAGCAAGGACCTGAAGCAGAAACCACAGAGGAGGAGGAAGGCCACTTACTGGTTACTGTTCAGCTAGCTCTCTTACACAGCCCAGGCCCGCCTGTCTAGGGACAGTGCTGCCCACAGTAGACTGGGCCCTCCTACATACATGAGCATGCCAATAGGCCAATCTGATCAAGGCAGTTCCTCCATTGAGACTCTCTTTGAGTCTCTTGGCTTTGTAAAGTCAATAGCTAGAAGAGTCTCAAAGCTGAAATAGGAGCCTGCATTTGTTCGGAAGGCAGATGAAAAGCTTGAAAATAGAGCTAGACCGTTTCCTAAGGTAGAACATGGCTTCTCTCCAACTTCACACTACAGCTCTCTTACCACCCAAGCCTCCATCTATATTAGATTATGAAAGACAAGGAGGCAGATTAAAACCACACATGCATATGTTTGCATTCACATCACATGCACACACATGTATACACACACACCCATCGCTTCCTCCCAGATTTGCCCCACACAGTACAGCTGGACCAGAGAACCAGCATACACCTTACACAGGATAAGGTCTCCACAAATATTTGTTGAACAAAATGTGTTTCATCTGGTTGAATGTGGTGATATTTTGCTTATGATCTAACAAATAAAGCTTGCCTGGAGATGAGAGTGTAGAGCTAAGCACTAGAGGCCAGGGAGTGGTAGCTCACACCTTTTAATCTCAGGACTCTGGGGAGAGATGGATCTCTGTTAGTTCAAGATCACCCTGGGCCACACGAAATGGATCCAGTCTGAAAGAGAAACAGCTCACACTAAGGTGATCCCAGCATTTGCTTAGGATCACACGCCTTTCATCCTAGTACGAGGGAGGTAGAGACAGGAGTGATAGGGGTGGAGAGAGGAATATAAGGCGGGAGGAGACAGGAGCTCAGTGCAGTCTGAGGACAGGATTGTCCTTTTGGTTTGAGCACTGGTAGAGAGGTAAGAACTCTAGTGACTGGCCACTCTGCTTCTCTGATCCTACAGCTTTTAACCTCTGAGAGCTGACTCTGAGATTTGTACTATAACTGACCAATGTTTTCTCCCAAAGAAAAAGAAATATAACACTCAAATCCTCAGTCTTTCCAGAGGCAGAGCTCCACCCTGAGACTGGAGGTGCCACCAGGAGCATCCCCATCCCCCAACCCCAGCAGTTGTTTAGCACAAAGCATGCCATGGCAAGGTCTGCTTGCTCACGGGGATATCTACATGTCGATTTTGCTTCTGAAGATTAGGGCATATTAAGCAATGTCCGTATCCCAGTCAGGGATACCGGGTTGCAGCTGCTGAATAACCACATGTGTGTCCTCCACATGCCTGTCCTCCTTTTGCAGGGAGAGAAGACAGCGTCGGGGAGTCAGGAGCTTCCCTGTGCAGAGGAGTGAGGGCATCGCAGGGCCTCAGGCGTTGAAAATGACCAAGAGTGCAAACCCAGGCCGGGTTTAACGCCACTGCCACTGGGGAAATCAAATTAGGGGCAGGTCACCAGTTTGCCGTCCTGGGCAGCCCAGAGTTGTCCCTGAGAAACTGGCAGCCGTGTCCCACGGGATAAGAGGGATTCGTGTTCAGAGACAGCCACAGTGTCCCTGTGCTTCCTCTCTGGTGGAGTCACCTTTGTACATGCTGCCCTTTCTCTGCTTTTGTTGGGGATTATATTTCAAAGAGCCAGGGAGGCTGAAGCCAGGCAATCCTAAAATGTTTGTTCTTTCAAGACAGTGCCTCGACATTTACATAAAAAGTGTTTGTTCTCTCTAGTGTATCCCTTGTCTTTCTTATTTGTCCTCAGGGGACAGCAGGCAGGCAGAGAGGGGCTCTATTTAGTCAGCCAGCTGTTAAGGCTGGCCGGTTTCTCCTGAGGAGAGCCATAGGGCACAGGGATTTAATGACACCCCCGAGGAAATCAGACCCTGGGACTGTGACCCATGGAAACCCAGATTCCTTTGCTTTGTCACCGCTGCCATCTGGCTGAGCCATGCTTATTGTTCATTGGGGGATTGGTCGGTGACCTTTGTGGGGTTTCCTCTTGTTGGCCGGGGTCTGGTGCTCAGTTGGAAGAGTGTTGGTCCAGCCTGTGTGAAGTTGATCCCTAGCAGTGTGTAAACCAAGTGTGGTAGCTCACACCTATAATCCCAAAGGTATAGGCAGGAGACTCAGGAATGCTGTGTCTGTTCCCAGTTTTCATTCCTGTTGGGTGTGCACACAGGCATGACCTTGCTGAGTCTTGAGTGTGAGTGTAACCTCTGGAGGAGCTGCCACGTTGTTCCCTAAATTCAAGTTCCCTGTAACCCAGACCATCAGGTTCCCTCCCTCCCTTTCCCTCTCTCATTTTCCCTCCTCCCCCGCCCGTGTGTGTGTGTGTGTGTGTGTGTGTGTGTGTGTGTGTGTGTGTGTAGCTCAGACAACTTTCTAGAGCTGTTTTTCCCCTTCCACCACGTGGGTTCAGGCACTTTGTCGAGCTTACCTCAGCCGCAGGAACTTTAACCCGCTGAACCATCTTGTCAGCCCTCATTCTTCTTTTAATCACGATTTTCAGGTGCGCAAATTGAAACAGCTTTAAAAAAAAAAACAGACAAAAAAACACACCCCTGCAATCCCACCAATCCCACCCTTGTCAATCTAGACTATTTCCCTCACCCCAAAATTTTCCTTGGACCCTCCCCAGTCAACCTAGAGTTCCCTGAGCAGTCGTTTGTTTATTTATTTTACTTTTTTGGTTTTACAAGACAGGGTTTCTCTTGGTAGCTTTGGAGCCTGTCCTAGAACTTGCTCTGCAAAACCAGGCCAGCCTCGAACTCAGTTAGTTAGATTCACCTGCCTCTGCCTCCTGAGTTCTGGGATTAAAGTCCTGCGCCGCCACTGCCTGGCTGAGCAGTTGTTTTGATGGTTGGAGTCATGGAGGTGAGCCTCCCCTAGTCCCAACTGTTGCCTGTCTGTGGCTGCTGGCTTGCTAGGCACTATATGCCTGTGTGGTCCTTTAATTTCTACCAAAGCCTCCTCAGGCCTGGCTCACCTTGACTTTTGGAATAAGCAGCGCTCTCCTCACTACCCCCAGAGATAAGGCATGTGCCATGGAGGCTGATTCCCCCACTTGGCCTGGGATTAGGAGGAATCCCAAAACCAAAATTTTCTGTGCCCACATCCAGAAAGATGAGAACAATGTAGACCAAACTGCCCTGGCCCCAGTAGCCAGAGTCTTCCTCAGAGAGAAACAAGTGTTTTGTTTTTGTTTTGTTTTCTTCTTCTCTCTTTCCTTTATATAGGCAGGGCTGGACTGAACATCACATCCTCAACTGGAGCCCTACATCCATCTCTTGTGTCCCAGCATGGCTGCAGAGATGCCAGCTCCTGCAGGCGGACACCAGGCTGGTTAGGATGCAGGGCAGAGCGGGATGCAGGCGGAGTGACTAGGCAGAGCCAGTCTGCTGCAGTGCAGGGAGGGCCGACGGCCCAGACCAGGGGAGGGAGGACAGAGTGTACATGGCTTGAATAGCCAAACACCAGCACCAGAGGCAGAAGCTCAGCCTGCTGGGGCCTGCTGGGCCCTCCAGAGTCACCTTCCCCAGCTGCTGGTCACTGAACCCAGCTTTCTCTACTTGCCTGTTTCATTCTCCCCTGGGGTGTTGGTTCTTTGTGGCAAGCCCCTTTACTGTCCTGGAGCCAAGAAAGGGGTCAGTGTAAGGAGCTCACAGCCTCGGCCAATGCCCTTGACCTAGCAATGCTTCTTCTATAGGTGAGAAGATGTGGCCATAGCTGTAACAGAGACAGGAAATCTGGCTTTCCACCAGGTTGATCTGCCATGTACAACCACACAATGGACAGCTCAGCCCACAGGACAAAGCAAGGACACGCTGTGTCTCCAGGGCAGTGGTTCTCAACCTGTGGGTCACAACCCCCTTGGGGGTAGTCACATATCAGATACCCTACATATATGAGATATTTACATCATGATTCATAACAGTAGCAAAATTACAGTTATGAAGTAGCAACAAAAATAACTATGTTCGGGGGTCACCACATCATGAAGAACTATATTAAAGTCGCAGCATCAGGAAGGTTGAGAACCATGGCTCTAGGACCTGGGAAAGATGGCTTGGTGGGTTAGTTGTTTGATTGGCATGCACAAGGACCTACTTGGCAAGCCCCAGGCCAGTAAGAGACCCTGTCTCAAAAAACAAAAATCCCATCAAACAAGGTGGATAGAGCCTGAAGAATTACAGCCCCGATTGTTTTCTGGCCATCACACACACACACACACACACACACACACACACACCTAGCAAGGCTCTTCAGAGGGAAACCATTTCTTCACACTCCCACAGAGCCACCACGAAGCTACTTCACGGTGCCTTCTCCATCATGGCTGGCCGTCCCTCGGAAACCATGAACCCATATAAATCCTTCCTCTTTGGAGTGGTTGTGCCGTTGTGCCAGGTTTTGAGGGCCGCTGACTAACCCGTGATTCTATGGCTCTCTCACCCCAGGGAGAATGCACGAGAAAGTGTTACTACATCTTCGTGGTGGAGACCATCTGCGTGGCCTGGTTCTCCCTAGAGTTCTGTCTGCGTTTTGCCCAGGCTCGGAACAAGTGTCAGTTCTTCCGTGGGCCCCTGAATGTCATCGACATTCTAGCCATCTCCCCGTACTACGTGTCGCTTGTGGTGTCCGAGGAGTCCGCGGAGGCAGGCGAGAGGCTGAGTGGCAGCTCCTACCTGGAGAAAGTCGGACTGGTGCTGCGTGTTTTGCGGGCGCTACGTATCCTCTACGTGATGCGTCTGGCCCGCCACTCGCTGGGGCTGCAGACGCTGGGTCTCACGGTGCGTCGCTGTGCCAGGGAGTTTGGCCTTCTGTTGCTCTTCCTAGGTGTGGCGGTCACCCTTTTCTCCCCTCTAGTCTACGTGGCTGAGAATGAGTCTGGAAGGGTCCTAGAGTTCACCAGCATCCCCGCGTCCTACTGGTGGGCCATCATCTCCATGACCACAGTGGGCTATGGGGACATGGTTCCTCGCAGCGTTCCTGGTCAGATGGTGGCTCTGAGCAGCATTCTTAGCGGTATCCTCATCATGGCCTTCCCAGCTACATCCATCTTTCACACCTTCTCCCATTCCTACCTGGAGCTGAAGCGGGAGCAGGAGCAGGTCCAGGCCCGCCTCCGGCGTCTTCAGAACACAAACTCGGCCAGCGAAAGGGAGCTTCTGAGCGATGTGGATGACCTGGTCCCCGAGGGCCTGGTCTCCCCCATCCGCTACGTGTAACTCCTACCGCCTTAGGAATGCGCCGTAATTTCAACTCATCCCATGGCTGAGACAAGCTCCTGCACCTCTCCTGTGGACCATCTGGGGGTGTGTTCTCAGAATGCTGAGTTCCAAAGCAGGAAAGGGGCCAGGCCATAACAACACTGGTGTGATCCTGGGCACATCCCTTGTCCTTCCCCAGCTCCCTGCCAGCTACTGGGCACAGTTCATCTTGGTAGGCTGAGTCGGTGGCCCTGTGTTCTTTCCCCTCCCTTGCAGACTCTGTGCTATTCCACCCTGGGTCCTGGATGCTCACTGAACTGACCACCGCTAATAGTGAAATGCGAAGTCTGCAGATTTCCATCCTCTCCTCCAGACTCCCTCTCCGGGTTCATGCCACCCCAGAGGGCTCAGGCACTGAGACCTGTTCAAAGCTCCATGCAGCCCGCAAGGCTTCCAGGCAGGTCATGTGCTCTCTTGCTTCCTGCCACAGCCAGCTGAGTTTCCAAATGCAGCAGAAGCACTCACTGTTCTAGAAGCTCTTAGCCAAGAAGGCAGCCCTGGCCACTTAAACAAATCCTGTCAGGGTCTCATGGCAGCAAGCCTACTGTCACCTCTGACATTGCTAGAGACCTGGGCCACAGGACTACCTGCAAATACCCAGCTGGCCAGCTGGACTCTTGGTGGACACTCTGGTTCTGAAGCTCTTAGTATTGACAAGGAGACTCTGAGAACCATACAATGTCCTTTCAGAGAACAGCAGCACCAGGAGGAGCCTCAGCTTTCCCCAATCAACTAAACATCACCGACACAGCTCGGCAGTACAGCCCTAGGCCTGCCTGGTTCTAGCTCTCCACATCTGACCCCCACTGATGGAGGCTGGGCATCCCTGGTGTCTGTGTGCATCCACGTATCCGTGTGCTCCTCTGTCAGCAGACTGGACCCTTGGATCCACAGAGGAGGCAGCGTGCTATGAACATGACTTACAGAGATAAACCAGGAAGCAACAGAGGCCCCTGAGCAGTCGGTACCCCCAGAGTTTCCCAAGACACAGTGTCTAGTGCTGGAGGGGCGCCAGGAGTGGGGGGCAGAGCAGACTGGGAGAAGGAGGTGGTGGGTCTCAGAGCCTTACAGAAGACAGCACTGTGACTGTGCTAGGCGTGAGGACAAGGATGACAGTCCAAGCCGAAGTGGGAGTGACATCCATCCAGGAATGTCCCGTGGGTTCACCTCCCCCACATCACTACCAATCTGGCACAGCACACCTGGGAGACATCTCCGTGGCACTTCCCAGCAGAGACACAGCTGCACTGTCATCCACTCCTGGCTGTAAGGCCACTGGAGAAAGGACAAGGGCAGTGAGATAGACGGGGCCCTGTGAGTCTGACATGGCTCAGGTGTGGCATGCAGTCAATACTGCAGCCCTGCTAATACATATCTGACTATTGGTCCTTCTGCCAGTATTGAACTGAGCCCTTTTGGGTGCCGGGCTCACTTCCCCTGACTGCAGCCCATAGCCAATGACTTTCCAGAGAAGCCCCAACATCTAAGCTAAAGGGCGTCTTGCCCATGTGGGAACTCTCACGCCCTCTGATTCCCCCAGCAGATGCATACACGTCTCCATCTCTCTAGACCTCAAGGTCCGGAGAGCACCTTAGTTCTTACCAAGCTCACATGTCTCAAGCAAGCCCTTTGTGTCACACGAGGAGAGCTGATTCCTTCATGAGGCCTTGGGTATGCTGTTCTGTTCCAGGGATCAGCCAGCAGAGTCCTGGGGATACCTGAATGTATTCTGGAAGTATATAAAAAGTAGCTATATTAATCTTTTGCACCAGGCTAATTTTTGTTTGTTTGTTTGTTTGTTTGTTTTGAGACAGGATCTCACAGTGTAGTCCAGGCTATCTTTGAACATGTAATCTTCCTGGCTCACACACTAAAATTTTTATAGCTGTAATTAGACAAAACACTAAACAATCAGTTTTTTCCTTTATACTCTTAAGAACAGACAGCATGGGTTCCATCTGAGACCCGGGGGTTTCACTCTGTCTATGATTGTGAGCAGGTCCCTTTGCCTCTTTGTAAACCACACGGTTAGACCAGATCTGTGGTTCTCTAGCTGAAGATCTACAGGACACTTTTAGGGACTGCTGTTGTTGGGGGAAGATCAGCCAAAGAAGCAGAGGACCCATTGGCCAATGATGATCACGCATTCACACAACACCTAAAAGAATACAGAAATGCCTAGACAGTTCCTCTCCTCCAAGACAGGGCTAACCACAGGTCACAGACCTGAGGTGTTAGACTCACCCTGGAACCAGAGAAGAAGCCACTGGGAACATGGTCCCCCGTCATTTCTGCATCTGTCCCTCAGTTCTGACTGAAGGCCTCGTCTGCATCACATGCTTGGTATGATGCTCCCCAGCACTGTGCCTAGCTCTCACCAGGCATCCCCACAGTTCTCTGTGCCACCAAATGTACCAAGGCAAAAAGAAAAGTCAAAGGTCAGCATTGGCTAAACCCATCAAAGACACAAAATGTCTCTATTGTCTGCACACATATACCCAATTAAAACTCCTATTAAATAAGACTTGGAAAATTGTAAGTGATGGTTTGATGTAGGGTTTAATTTAACATTTTTGATTTTTTGTTTTTGTTTTGTTTTGTTGTTTTCTTTCTCTTGGGTAACATCCTGGGAGATAGGTCTAAGTCGTCCAGGTCTGGCTTTTGCATCCCTTTTGATGTGATTGGATGGGAAGGAACTACAAGCGTGTTACTAGGTAGTGTTTTCATCCCCATTGGTTGACAGGAACCCAGTGATCCCCAGCTGCTGTGGCTGTAGCCAAAGGGGACTTTTGACTTTGAGTCACCTTCCAGCGGTTACAGATGTGGCTCCTAGAGGAAGGAACAGTGTTGACTGGAGGTCTTTCCAGTCATGCAGAGTTGAGCTCAGCAGTAGAATTGAGTTAGCTCTTCAATACAATGAAAGGGACTCAAAGAGGGTCCTGACTTGGGACTGTGCCAAGACTGCAGGCTACTTTCAGGGCTTCTAGGACTGCACCATGGCCACCAACACTCCCATCAACACATGATCGGTGTGCCTCTGACCATCCGAAGGGCAGATATGCTTCTGGATGCTTATGTGCTTCCGAGGGTAGAGTGTCCACTGATTTCATTTGTTTCTCAAAGGAAGACTCTCCAAACAGGGTAAAGAGCTCTAATGTCAACCAACTCCCTCTTGGAAGATGGAGAGACCAAGGTTCAGAGAGGGAAAACCACGCATTGGCTTATCTCATTATATTCAAGTATCTTTTTTTAAAAAAAAAATATTTATTTATTATGTATACAGTATTCTCAGTATTCTGTCTGCGTGTATGCCTTCAGGCCAGAAGAGGGCACCAGATCTCATTACAGATGGCTGAGCGCCACCATGTGGTTGCTGGGAATTGAACTCAGGACCTTTAGGAAGAGCAGGCAATGCTCTTTAACCACTGAGCCATATCTCCAGCCCCTATTCAAGTATCTTGACTCCTAGCTGAGCCCTTTCTAGTATATTCTGCCACAACCCTGGGCTTGAGGGAAGCAGGGCCTGGCCTTGGAGAATGTGCTCAAGAGGAAAAGAAAGCAGCAGTTTGCCACACTGTCCTGAGCTGAGGGGCAGAGACACTGTGGAGTGTCCTAGGCATATTATTCAACAGGAGACATGGGGATGGACTTGCTGGACCTGCTCTTCCTCAGATACCCATAGTGATCCTGTAGGAGGCTGCCGCAGTCCCTCCCGGCATGGGCAACTGGGCTTCTGGGAACTCACTGCAGCCGTTCCTAACCTGTGGTGGCTGGGAAAGCCACACAGAAAGGGACACAGTAATCAGTGTGTGAACATGTCACCGTCTACCAAACCTGGCCGCCCATTCCAGAGTCACCTGCCCACAGAGGTCTTTTCCTACCACCCGATTTCCATCACTCAGGTACCACACCTCACCCTTTCCCATGATGCACTGCATGCCCCACTATGGACACTCCGTATCTCCCACTCCTCATGGAGGAATGTGACTGTGGACGCTTTCTGGGCGGTCACTGGTACCTAGCCTACGGGTTTGTAACAGTTTGTGTGGGGACCATGTCAGATACCATGAGTCCCAGCAAATCTTCCCCACTCTCAAAAAAAAGAGGAAGGGGGTTACTATCAATGAGGGGCAGTTCCTCTCTTTGGGAGATGATCCCAGGACACACTATGAAGATCAGAGACTGAGAAAGGGGAGGAAGGGGCCAGGGAGAGCTGACCTTGCCCAAAGATTGAATTAAAGCAGTAACATTAGGCCTGCTTACTGCCTGCCTGTGCAGGTCAAGTAGAATGTTCCAGCAAGGCTGGTCATACTGAGGATCTCTGTGAAAAGAACATATCCTTCTTGCAGGTAAATGAGTCCCCAAGATGCAGCATCTCCAACCCTGGGCAGCTTCACAGATTCTAAAGTAGGACCTTAATGGTTTCAAAGTCCCATCTTTGCCTTCATAAGTGTGGACAGGAAGGACGAAGGAGGGGGTGTGACTTTGGAGACAAACCGCCAGGGCTGGCACAGTCTGGCTCGGTCCAGGCTCTGGACTCCCAGAGCTTCCAGCCCTGGGCAGCCTGCTCTCTGCCCAGTGCCTGTCTTTATGCAGCTTTGATATCTAGCCAAGGGGCACCTCCCGGAATACAATGTCAGTTAAAAATAAAACTAAAGGCACCAGCCCTGCCCTGCAGCAGTCTGCTTCTGAGGACACATAGAGAACTCAGAGCTATCACTTAGGGACTTGCTGTAAGGAGGACACAGCCAAGGGGGTACAGCTACCATGTGACACAACCTGGGATAATGTGGGCCCTGAACTAAAACTAGCCTCCATTGTATTTGCACTTACCTGCCTGGTGCAGACCCCTATGAGGCCTGAGGTACCACCTGCACTTACTGGGTGAGATCTGGGGACCCTGCACCCTTCTGAATTAAACATTAAATGACATAAAAAAAACCAACTTTATAAGTTCA